TTAAGTATCAGTTCCCTTCCACCTTCCTTCTTGTTTCCTTTCTGTTCTGTTCTGTGTTCTCAACCTGGCTGTTACAGGGAGACGCCACTCCTGCAACACAGAGTGCGGGCCTCTGCCTCTTCCCTTCCCTCTGCTGCTGTTGACTGTCTGCGTGGAGAAACACCAGGGTGGGAGGGTGGTGGGGATCACTTGGTGGCATCAGGATAGTAGGTTTTTCCCCTTGCCCCTGACTCCTCTTTCCCCCTTTCTCTCAATGCTGCTCTTGACCAATACTGAAAAATCTAATCTCCCTCTACTTTGTGAGCACATTGCTGTCCTGGGAACTGGGCAGGAGACGCTTTCTCTGGCCTTCCTATTGCTTGCTCCCCACCCACCAGCCCCTAAGTGCAAGGAGTAGACAGGGCCAAGCAGAATACCCACATGGAGCCTGTGCCCTGCCTTCTGGAACACCCTCTGGGTAATTTCCTGCCCAAAAGCCTCAAGGATGCTTCTAGGGCCTGCTTGGGCCTCTTTGTGGGTGTTGCTGTTGAGAACAGACAGGGATGCAAAGCCAGTGTTCATACCTTTAGGCCCAAGGAGTGTCTCAGAGGCAGTTACTTGCAGGAAGTGTGAATAGAGCTTGATGAGCTGGCTCAGGTGCCCACAGTAAGCACAGGCAAGGTCCCTCGTAGTGCTGGATGGAGCTGGGGTTAGAAAGACAAGGGTACTTGGCACCTCTGGCACCCACATTCTGGCTGGAATTCTCAATTTAGACCTTGACTTTCAGGCCATTATGGGGGTCAAGGTAAGAGAATAAATGTTTGTTAGCTTAATTTATAGCCTTTAAATATTTAGACATATGGAGCCTCCATTTGTATTCTTGCCCTGAACAGTCCAAATGTTAGCAGTGGACCTGCCTGAGAGCGTTGCCCCATCCTCACGCTCCACCGCCTGCTGGTGTTGGGAGGATCGGGCTGGGTAAGAGCGTGCCTCTCCCACCAAACATGAGCTCCATCGGGCAGGGATTATCATTGCTTCTGCTTGCTATTGTTTCTTAGAACAATGCCTGGCACACACTTACTGAATGAAAGAAGGAATAGTCATGGGATCTGAGCAGCAGTGGGAGGGAGGAGTTATTCAGCAGTAGCTGGGAAGAGAAGGTATGTACCCTTAGCAGCTCCACCGGGGTGCAGTTATGTGTAATAGACTAAGAGTCATCTGTTTCAGGATGAGCTCCCATATCCATTTTCCTCTTGGATCACACGAACTGTGACAATTTTTGTGTCATTTTAGGGACCCTCAGATGTGTGAATTTGATAAGATGTTCTTGTTTGACTTTATAGTATATTTTCTCTCTGAGGGAAGGGAACTCCACAATAATGTCTTAATTCACATTTTCACAACAGATACCCATTATAGGATGGTATCTAATTCAATTAGGTTGGAAGAAAGAAAGAAAAAAAGAAAGAAGCAAAACATATAAACAAAATCCTAGACTACCAGAGTTGGTTAAATGATGACCTATAAGTGGGAAATCAGTATAAAACCCACTGTGATTGTTAGTGATCATCGCAGTATTTTGAAAGCATTTCCAAAATAAATAAAACTATGGGAGTTAGATTTAAGAAAAGTAAAGGTTTCTGTAGTGAAGAATCCTTAACTCAAGAGTGACTTAGGTGATTACTTTAGCTGGTCATCTAAATCATTTGTGAGGGCTGGGGGATTGCTAGAAGAGAATGTGAAGTGGATTCATCCTGTGTCATGGTCTTTTTTTGGGAGAAAATATAATAGTTGAAGCTTACTAAGATGTTATATACTGATCTTATTTCTGGTTTTGGAAAAATCATGCAACAACTTTTTCCATCTAATGCTTAAGAGAAGTCTAAGCATTCATATTTCCAAACCAGAAGATATTATTTTTCTCTTATATTTAATTAGAAGTAAGCCTAAATCACCTAATGTTGTGATCTATAATAGGACCTGTGGGCTTAGATATTGAGTCTTTTATTTACATTTTAAAGGAGTATTTTAAAAATTGAACCGGGAGAAACTCTGTGCTCTCATGGACATAACTCTAAAACGCACAAAGGAATCAGAGTGTTGGTGCTAATTTGAGAATTGGTAGTTTGTTCCTTAAAAAAGGTTCTTTTTTTGGTTAGTTTCTGTAATTATGGCATCTCTTCCAACCATCTCTTTAATACCATGCAAAATTTGAGAGTTTTACAGTAAAGAAAACATTTAAAAAATATTAATCACCTTTTAACTGATAATTTTGAAAAGTTATTTTCATTTTACGGTTTTTGTAAGAGACAGATAAAGAAAACGTGTTTCACACTGAAGCATGCAGCTGACGGTCATATCTCAGAGGGAAGAGGGAGGGGGTGGGTGGAGGAAAGATCAACCAAAGAATTTATATGCACTTATGCATGACCAATGGACACAGACAATAGCGTGGTGAAGGCCGAAGGTGGGGGTGGGGGTGAGGAGAGATTAACCAAAGAAGTTATATGCATATATGCATAACCCATGGACACAGACAATAATGGGGTGAAGGCCTGGGGAGGGGGTGGGAGCGAGGTGGAAGGGGCTAATGGAGGGAAAAATGGGACACCTGTAATACTTTCAACAATCAAGATGAGTTAAAAAAAGAAAAAAAGAAAATGCATTTCTGTCTCTATGAGCAGATTATTTTTATTACATGAAAATTCTGTGTATTATTTATTACTTTGACTTCTGAAAAGAGCCACCGTCCAAACAGGATTAAATTAAGTAGGTGGTTTTATTACATTATTATTTGNTGTATTATTTATTACTTTGACTTCTGAAAAGAGCCACCGTCCAAACAGGATTAAATTAAGTAGGTGGTTTCATTACATTATTATTTGTACTGATTTTATCCTTCTTCCTTACCTCTCTCTACCTTTACATTCCAAAGTGATTTTAACCTAGCTAACTAGGGGAGGGAAATGAAGGATATACTCACTGTTGGAAATTTGCCCTCCATTTGTGGGCACTGTGTTCCTCAAGCCACACCTGCCCTGACCTTGGTGTCTGAAGTGTTGATTTTGGATAGGTGACTGCCCTGTTGGCAGCGAAAAGGTGAACAAAAAGAAGTAGCCGTGGGGGAGATGTGGACAAGAAATGGCATTGTGGAGGGGACAGTGCTTGTCCCTGAAGTCATATCGTATAGGGAACTCCTTTCCAGTGCTGTTCTGAGACAGCGCTTTTTGTAAAACATGGACAGTGTACTGAATTTTCATTAAAACTGAGGTGATTCAACTTAAGGAATTAAATGGTAAAGTGGTAAAGTTAATTGTGCTAATCTTCCTCTTAAATATCTTTGTTTGCCAAAATAAAAAGTTAAGTTACTCCATGTTAGTCCATAAAATGTTTTTGGAATTTTACTATTCTGTGAAGCCTCAAAGTCCACCATTCACTCTTTTCATGGCAGCAACAATTATGTTATTAGCTTTTGGTCGTTTTTTTCAGCAGTGGAAATTGATTCTAGGAAAATTAGTTGAAATGCTCACATTTTTTAATAGTGGAAGATTTTATGCATGTATGTACACATGTATTTTTATGTATTTGTGTATAAGGAGATCAGCCTACTGCTAATGCCTGTGTTTTCCTTAGGTCATGAGATGGGGAATTGTGCTTTGAGTTTGCTCAGTCTTGAGTTATAACAAGTTGTATGCTGGTCTCTTTTCTAAAAGTTGATGTTCAAAGTACTGGATCTTTGTCAAAAAACGTGAAGTTCTGTAGTTCTTTAGTGTTTTCACACGTATTGTCTCATTTAATTCTCACAACTTGGAGTCATAGAGATCATTATTCATTAAGAATTTTCAATTTATGAGCAAGGAGCTTACCATGTCTTTTTTTTTTTTTTTTTTTTGAGGTCCATTTTAGAGATGCTTGACATTGGAACAAAATACATAGAACTTGACATAAAATGGAATCTTAGACTCATTAGCCCAACTATTCTCATATGCTTATGGAAAAGAGTAGAAATTTAATGCACAAGTGAGCTTTGTTGTAGCAAAGTTGGGTCTCTTTAAAATGGCCATGTGGCATAATCCTTAACTCAGAAAGACTAAGAACAATGAAGTTAAAATAAATACAATTCATGACCAAAAGAACTGTGTGGAAGTCCTTGAGCTCTTTAGGGAGGTGTTGGGGGTTTGATCAAGTACTTTTTAAAATTTAATTTTTATCCCTTTAAAAATAAGCATGCATTTTAATATGTTGTTGAGCCGAAGCAAGCCCCAGAATTCAATGTAATATGAACATTTACAGAGTTAAGGACTCTAAATTTGCCTTTGAGAAGGTTACCAGTAAAGATAAAAGGTGTAGGAAACTGTGGATTTTAAGGATAAACCCAGCATCATTTTCTAAGTTAAGTCCCTATCTAAATAGGTTATTTTCTTATATATTCTCAGGTCTTTCGAGGGGTCCCTTACTTTGAAACTGTTAAATGCAAAGAGCATTATTTCCATTTACAGTATTTGTCAAATGTGTTAAGTTAGCAAATGAGCTAACTTAATTTGAAAAATTAAGAATTCTTAATGCTGGCAATGGTTCAATGAAACTAGTACTTTTATATCCTGCAGTTGGAATGAATCTAAGCTTTTTTGGGAAGCAGTTTGTCAGTACATCCTATAAACTTTAAATATGTGACCTTTCAAAATCCTACTTATGCATTCCTCTTCTAAGAAATAATCAGAAACACGTACAAACCTTTAAGGCAAAAACATGTTCACCAAAATATTATTCATAAAAATGACCTTTGTGCTATTTCCAATAAATGGGAATGGGTAGAAAATTTATATTTACACAGCTTCTAAATTGACATGTGTTGAGACTTTTAATTAAATGAGAAAACAAAACCCTTATGCTAGAATGTTAGTGAGAAAACAAAACAGGCTGTAAGATTTAGATAACTTCCTATCATTAGGAGTGACAGCAGCTCTTGAAATTCCAAGATGCCTTTACCTTTCTAATGAGCTGGTGCATTTTTTGTTACAAAGGAGTGGCTTTGTAATTCATTCAGTCACATCCACAGCCATTCATTTCCCCTTTTCTGTGCCAGATACTACATGGGACCCTGAGGTACAAAGGTAGAGAGCCTAAAATCTCCAGTATCTGCATGCAAGCTTGATATTTACTCATAAGTGTTCAGTAGTAAGCAGTGGAGTTCTAGTTAAATGTCATAGTCTGAATTTCTTTCCTGGGTGGAAGGCCTTGTTTGCTTTAGGAATCAAGGTGGGACAAACCAAAGCATAGAAAAGAAGCCAGGAAATCCAGTTTACCTTTGGAAATTCTAAGTGGACAGTTCGATCTGAACATTTTCAGTATGTGTGTTTTGGGGGAATCTATAGATTCTAGAATTGGGAGTAAGATTCGATACACTTTTTAATGTTGCATCCACATTTCTCGCCCTGGGCTCTCAGCCTGTCTGGTTTGTATTAGTCTGTGCTATCCCAGGGGAATGGGTCTGTCTTCCTGACTTAACTGAGAATTCCTAAAATAGCTACTAGCACCGAGACTGACTTATCTCTTAGTCTACTTCCCCCGGCATTTCATACTGTCTGGCAAATGGTAGGCACTCAATACATGCTTGGAAAAAACCGAATTACTGTTATATTCACAGGTAACAACTACTGTGATATGGAATAGATGAATGGAGCAGAACCTGGCTGACATTTGCGTTCTGTACAAACACATGGCTCCTCCGTGCCTGTGCTCTTCACGGATGAACGTGTAGGAAGAGAGTTCACTCTGTTTCACAGGTCAGTGAAGTTATATAGTATTTCATACCTACTATCTCACAAGGACTGAACAAATTTGACATTAATTAAAAAGCGACCTAAGCTCCTTGGAAGAAAAGTGCTATGCAGTTCTGAGCTGGAAATTTGATATTTTTAACTTCAGTGGGAGTATATTGGCAAATGAAGAGTGAAAAAGAGCTTCGGATTTGGAGAAAAACATGCTGTAAAAAGAATATGAGTGTGATAATTATAAAAATGCTTGAGACTAGTCATACTGAAAGAATATAAACATATGAGAATTAATCTATATGTGTACATGTATGTATATAAGTATATGTATTATACATGTATATATGTATGAAAAAAGTTAATTAACTTTCCTCATACNAGACTAGTCATACTGAAAGAATATAAACATATGAGAATTAATCTATATGTACATGTATGTATATAAGTATATGTATTATGGGTGTATATATGTATGAAAAAAGTTAATCAACTTTCCTCATACCAGCACAAATATATTGCATTTGGGATGAATGAAAAGAAAAATAATAAAAAAGCATCAATAAATATTCTCTGAGCATTATGTTTTAAATATTGGACTAGACTCTGAGGCTACCATGGTCCAAGGGTTTTATACAGGACACACACACACATACACACACACAAANGCATCAATAAATATTCTCTGAGCATTATGTTTTAAATATTGGACTAGACTTTGAGGCTACCATGGTCCAAGGGTTTTATACAGGACACACACACATACACACACACAAATAAAGTTAAAAATAATATAAGCAAGCATGTACTATAGGAATTTCAGCCAGTTGCGGTTTTTTTGTTTTTTATGGAGCAGGTCTATGATTTTCAACCTCTATATGTTGTTATTGAAAAGTTGTGTGCAGTCAAGCATGGGATGGAANACACACACACAAGTAAAGTTAAAAATAATATAAGCAAGCATGTACTATAGGAATTTCAGCCAGTTGCGGTTTTTTTTGTTTTTTTGTTTTTTTTGGAGCAAGTCTATAATTTTCAACCTCTGTATGTTGTTATTGAAAAGTCGTGTGCAGTCAAGCATGGGATGGACNTTTTTTATGGAGCAGGTCTATGATTTTCAACCTCTATATGTTGTTATTGAAAAGTTGTGTGCAGTCAAGCATGGGATGGAAAGCAGATCAGTTTAAAATTAAAGTTCCATCTAGGTAAATAAAAGAGCTGATATTTGGAAAGGTAAATGATATGCACCAGTGGCATTTCTTGCCTGCAGCATAAAGTCCAAAATCTTTTCTTTGATTAACCTCCTCCGTCTGTTTATGACTACTGTGCAACAGCACGTACTGTACACTGGAGCCTAATTCTCTCTCAATTTTCTGCCTCTTTGTTTCTGCTAAGTATGATGCTAGCTGCCATGTACCCTGTGCTAAGAATCTTCCATATTTTATCTCATAAAATCCTAATGGTGACTGCAAGATAGTCACTATTATTCTCTTTTGGGTTCATTATTTTGTCCAAAGTCACATAGCTGGTAAGTGTCAGAGCCTTAACATAAACTGGATTCTGTGGCCGTCAGCCTGTCCTGCCTTTTCCCACCACCGAGACTGCCCCTTGGTCTATCTCTGCATATCTAAATCCTACCCATTCTACAGGCCCAGCTTACGTGAAGGTTCTCTAAATCTTTTCTATAGGTGGCTTCTCCCTCCTTTGACCACCCATTACTCTTTATATCTCTTTAGAGGCATCTCTCAGATGTATACTACAGTATACTATAGTATTTTTATGTTACATACTCCTCTTTTCCACCAGATCACAATCTTTCTGAGTATAAAGAATGATACATGCTACATTCCATCAACTTTTATTGGTCACCTACAATATGCCTAATCATGCTATGCCTTTTCCAAGCAGTTCCTTAAGCCTCTCAGCAGTGCTGGGTGGAAGAAATCATCTGCATTTTACAGACAATCAGAATGGGCAAGTGCTGAAGATTGCAGAGCAGGCNTACATTCTATCAACTTTTATTGGTCACCTACAATGTGCCTAATCATGCTGTGCCTTTTCCAAGCAGTTCCTTAAGCCTCTCAGCAGTGCTGGGTGGAAGAAATCATCTGCATTTTACAATCAGAATGGGCAAGTGCTGGAGATTGCAGAGTGGGTGCAAAGTAATTTGAGTCTTGACTCAGAATCTAGAGCTCTTTCCACCACATACAGAAACCTCATTGAACCCTCAGTGGAGTGTGCGCTGCATTGGGGAAGCACTCAATAAAATCAAATGAATGAACATGAATTGCCCTAACTGCTACCTGCAGAGAGTTCTGCATGTAGAAACTGCACGGGGAAGCTATAGTAATCTTACAATTTGGATTTCATATATTTAGTTGTAACTAGACAATCTCGAGCATAATAAAGTGTCTTGGAGTCAACTACCCACTCCTCAGTTGGGGCGCCCCTCCCTCATATGCTCTCTCTTGTTAATGTCAGTATCATCTACCCAGCTGGTCCAGGAAATCTGTGAATCTTCATAAACTTGTCCCTTCTGTAACTGTCCTCCCCTCCCCCATCNAGCTGGTCCAGGAAATCTGTGAATCTTCATAAACTTGTCCCTTCTGTAACTGTCCTCCGCTCCCCCATCTAACTGAATACTGAGTTCTGGAAATTCTGCTTCTTCAATATCTCTGAGTCCATATCGCCCTCCCTGTCATTCGGGGTCACTGCAGTTGCCTTCAGGTTTTCTCCTCTCAGTGCANATTTGGGGTCATTGCAGTTGCCTTCAGGTTTTCTCCTCTCAGTGCCGCCCTCCTCATTGCTACTAGAATGTGCTTTCTGACGTGGAAATCTGCTCATCTCGCTTTCTGGCTGAAAATTTCTTCTTAGTGGCCTTACTACCAACTTGTCATCATGGCATACGTGTCTCTTTATGATCTAGACTCTAATTCTCTGTCTGGCCCCAGATCCCACTGCTACCCTCTTAGCAACACAGAACATTTTCCTGAACACGTCCTGCTCCCAGATGGTAGTGCCTTGGAGCTTGGGATTCCTCTTTCTTGGAATGCTTCTCTACCTGGTGAGTTCCTACTCATCCCTCAAGACTACACTCAAAAGCCATGGCTTCTGTGGGACATCACTGAAGCCCTGGAGGGGGTTAGTCCCCACCCTTCTCTGTTTCCAGCTTGAGTTGTACTTAGAGGTGAATTGTAGCATATCTGCTTACATGACTGCTTCCTTTCTTANCTTCCTCTCTTCGATTATGAGCAACTTGTCTTTGTAGTCTAGTGCTGGGCATGCAACCACTGAAAGTCACTCAGTAAGTGCTTATAGAGGGAAGCCAGTTCTGAACAGTGAGGGAAGAGGCTTCGNTATAGAGGGAAGCCAGTTCTGAATAGTGAGGGAAGAGGCTTCTTTCTCCCTCATCTCCCCCCGTTTTGGAGCTAATGCTGAACTATTGTATAGTCATGATTATTTTCTTACTGTTGCCTAGCTCAAAATTTGCCTTTTGAAAAGTGTTCAAAGCACTTGGGAAATAACTCTTTCTCCTAGCATAAATTATGGCCAGTTAGGCCTTTGACAGACGAAAGAAACATACATTTTTCAAAAGAGATGGACAGCATTAATACACTGACGTCCCTAATTTACTCTTTGAAAGAGTATCCAATTGACAATTTAGATGCCCAGAGACTTGATGGTTAAAAAAAAAAGCATTTCCATTAGTAGTAAAGACATACCTGAATTTCTGTTTATTATCTTTTCAAATTCTGATTTTATTAGAAGCACGCAGGCAGATTTTTCTGAAATATCCTGACTGTGCGTATATCATCAGCCATCTCTATTGTATTCCCCCTTGTAACTTTTATAGCAGAGTTTTTGTCTTTTTTCTAAGAGTTAAGATCTTTGTTGAAGTTACATGTCTGCTCTCTGACATCACAAACTTGAAAAGCCTTTGTTGTTTTTGTCAATAAAATGAGTCTCTTGCATTTTGTTTATGAAGTTTTTGTTAAAGGGTAGTTTCTCTGGCAGCTTCAAAGGTATGTAAGAAGATTAGAGATGATGAGGCCAGCAAAGGATGCCAACAGTTACTTGCTGCTACTGGTAATCTCTTTTGGGTTCATTTTTTTCTGCCTGAATTTTCTTTTAAATTTTAGGAAAGAAAAACTTTGGTAATAACCGTGGCACCCTTGAATAAGTACCTCAGCAAGAAAAATGTATTTTATCTTGGCCCTCCCTACTTTTCACCCCCAACCCTCTTGATTCTGACTGGGGATGAATTTGCTAGAGAGTTTAATAATTTCAGTTTGATAATCTAATCTTCAACAGGGCCGACACTTTATGGACCATGTAATTTTTTTCCTATTTAGTTTTCAGTAAGCTGTTTGCATGTTTGGCCATTCCACAGGGTACTGAACATTTCCCCCAGTGGTTTGTGATAATAATTTACGTTGGAGTTTTTTAGTGAGTGACAGGAGAGTCGCCATAATTCTGTCTAGTGGCCTGGCATCATGGAACTCATAGTCTGGAAAGGTAGTCCAGTCTATATGATGCCTGTTGAGTAACAAAGGGACACTCAGGGTTTCTGACCATGGTGTACTATTGTGTCTGGAACATTCTGTGATGATCTGCACGTTTAGAACTAAGGAGTGTTACTCTCAAACATAAACGTTTGCATTTCTTTATTTACTTTGTAACATTTTTTACTATGTTAAATAGTTTTTCTTTGGAGATTTGTATTTTAAGCATTAAATGGTGGTGTGTTCTATTTTAAAAGCAGGATTTTACTTTAGGCTTGACATTTGATATTTCCACCCAGATTCAGAAATTTTCCCCAACTATTTGAAAAAATCTTCATGAAAATTAATTTTAGTCCTGTTAGTTTTATATTCACCTTGCGTGAAATCTTATAAGAGCTAATCTGGAATTATAGTACACTCATTTCTTATAATTATTATCTTTACCTTATCAGCCGATTGTATACTTGCAGTAAATATGCTTTAATTATTATACCAGTATATGGTTAATTGTAA